CCCAGAATGACTCAAGTAAAAAGAGATTTCTGAAACCTCAACCTCAAAATTCAGTATTGTTGCCCAACATCCCCTGTGCTGTCCCAGGAGCATGTTTCTCCGTTTTTCTCTATTTCTGTCTCTCTTACTCACACAGGCACACACACACACACACACACACACACAGTACTGAACAATGTCTGTTAGTAAACGTGTTGCTGCAGTGATTCACTTGATAGAAGCGCACTGTAGTAACGACCTATTCTGCCATAAGTTACCTCCACCAAGGAGATTATGTTTTCAGTAGCAYTGGTTTGCCTGCCCGTCCATCTGAAGTTATGAACTTATCATGGAATTTTCAGAACATGTTGAGTCACAAAGAAAAAATGATAAAATTTTGGTGGTGATTTAACAACATCTGCCAGAGCTTCATCTCGCATTGATCTGGCACAGAGACTGAAAGAAAAGAAAAATGACAGAAGAGGCACCAGAGGCTGCTTTTTAGTGATGATGTCATACTATGACAGCCAATCACCATCCAACAGAACTTTATCCCACCAATCACAGCTCAGCAGTTGACRCTGTCATTTGTATAACCTGTCTTGGCAGAGGTGTGCACTCTGAGCTCTACTGCAGTGGACTGTTTCGCAGATACCGCCATCTTTGCCTAGCAAAAAGCATCGTGGTCCAGTTTGGGGGTATCCAGTGTCAGTGTGTGAATTAAACATTGGTGAAAATGGGTTGTGGAGATAGCTGTCCTATGTTTTACTTGTGAATGTGCAACAATGATCACAGATACATGAAAATAAGTTAGAATATATAGAATAATGAAAACACAAGATTGTTGCCACTAGGCCTAGCAGATCGTGTGCTAAATATGTTGACGTGGTTTACAGCGATCTGGGCCATGTATCATATTTCCCCAACAACAGATCATTTTCACAATTTGCTATTACAAATATAGCTATAGGCCATCTTAAAACTTGACCACATCTTTGTAATRGTGTGCGGTTTATTTATTAACAATAATATACACCATACAAAAGGCTACAGATCACAATAACAGACGTATTTACCACCGTTAAAACAAAAACACATACTTTTGTCAGGTAAAAGTGCAGGAGAATTAACAAGTCCGAACGGTGGTAAGAGTTTTCAAAAATAAATAATGTTTTATTAAACATAAAACAAAAAGCTGTYGTGGCAGCAAAAAATCAACAAGGAACACGAGGACACCAAACAGTTGACGAGAACCAAACAATGAACCAGCAACTAATGAGGACATGGAACCAGAATATATACACACAGAGGAAGAGAGGAAATGAACAGCTGAGGAAGGACTGATTAACGACTGACAGGTAAGTATGATAAAACAGAGAGAATGACTCTGAAACAGACTGAGGGAAGATGAGTAATGACACGAGGACACAAGAGGGAGACAGCAGACAGGACAAGACACAGATCCTCACAACTTATAATATTAATGCCAAATTTGATGTGTGGCCAAGAAGGATGTTTAGTAAATCGTGGGTCGGCCAGACTCAAAATTATGAGTAGATTGTACTGTATGTTTATCACTCAGCCCCTCTGGTCATAATGGTGTTAATATGATCACTGTATGCTGGGATGTTTTCTGGTTGTTCTCTGATGAAAAAAAAACAACCCTGTCTGTGATTGGCTGGTGATGTGATTAATTTCCATAGAACTTGGATTGCGAGCGCAGAGACAGAGCTGTGAGCGAGCAGAGGTATAGTTGAGCGGAGGGAGGGAGTCGAGCACAWGCAGGAAGAGAGTTGAGCAAGCAGGGAGGAAGCCGCGTGAGCGTGTGTGTGATTTGAATGCACACGATTCAAATTATTGTTTTTTTTTTCTTCATATTGATATCTGCTCTCAAATCATTGTTACTGCGCACTCAAGCTGGTGGCACAAATGTAACGCCATAGTCTGCCTGACTTGCTTTGACAGGAGGGAGGTACTCTATCGACATGGAGCCTGTAGTGCTTGATCTGTGGCACGACTTTAGCCAAAATACACTTTCAGGAAATGTTCAATACACCACAGAAAACAGCAGATTAAASTTTAAAACATTTCACAGCACGAGCGCGTACGCGGCCCCTATCGAAAAACTCCACTGTCTGTCTGTTAGCAGTCTGAGGTGATCGAGTACATTCACCTGGTCAAAGCGACTCCGGCAGACCGCTTGGGCTCAGCAGGGAGAAGCCAAACCCACTAAGCCTGAATGCATATTATCAGGCATACAAAYGATTGATAAGTGCCTTCCAACCTACTAAGAGGTAAAGAAGGGACAGTCTGCA